ATCTCCCTCTTGTCCTGAGCATTACCAATAAAAAACAAGAACTAGTCCATAAATAAGCAAAAATTAACCTTCCCCTGTCGGAAGACTGAGCTGTAAAAGGCTGACAAGAATCTAAACTTTCTTCCCGGTCTGGAAAAGTCGAGCTGCTGGCTCCATAATAATTATGTAACTCCTTACCCATCGATGAATCCTTAATCCAATAAAAAATTGTATATAAAAAACCAACGAAAATACTAACCTGTAATTAAACTATGGTAAAACAATACACCTACTAACCTTCACAGTCTCCTCAAATCGAATTTGTTCTGCGTCATAAATCCTTAAGGAGTCGACTTCGTCTTTGCTCAATTTACTAAGTTCATCCAGTTCCCTTCTGTACCTTGTCAAATCAAGCGAAGATGATCGCTAAACAGAAGCACAAACTGAAATATTTAGCAAAAAAAGCTTTAAGAGTATCTCGCAGCAATGCTGCGCATTTGTAAATGAGCCAAATAAATCTCAAATTTCAATATAAAACCAAAATTTTAAGCTACCTAAAAATTTACTTTTGGTTCTACGATGAACACTAAAGCTCGCTAGAAGTTCACTAGAAAGTGGGCTTATAAATGTGAGCAGAATATGCAGACAGTAATATATTTACCGTAGATGTAGGTGTCGAAGTCATTTTAATAATTAAACTGATTAAACTTCGTGCGGAATAATCACAACCTAAAATGAAAATAAATTTTGAAAAATGAAAAAGACTAAAATAAATACAACCAAAAATCAGAAAAACAAAGTGAAAGGAGTTTTCGTGAAGGCGTAAATAACTTCACCTATCAACAAGTTCAATTACTAACTAAATGACAGGAACTCACCTTAACTACGTGGCAAGACCGATACAAGAGGGTAATGATGAGGTATTACTACAGTCAGCACATATATGCCTACTCACCAAGGCACCCAACCATAAACTAAAAATTAAGAATAATTTAAACGCCTCATACCGTATAAAACGAAATAAAAAAGTTCGTTTCTGTAATAATGTAAAACAATGAACACATAACCTATAGTAAATGTCATAAAAACTTCGCAACCTCGTCTGTTACGGTAAAACAATCGTCATGCTAGCGGAAAAATATCTTCATTTTAACTTAAAGATTAAAATAAACATGCGTAAAATGCTAAATGAAATAGTAACCCTCTGTTGTAACGAGTAAAACTCAATGCCTGCAACTCACCACACAATAGAAAATATGACTAGAAGAATGAAACGCCTAGAGAAAACCACACTCCATCTACTGCTGCATCATCAATCGTTACTATTTGATCTTGTATCTTAAGTACCAATTAACAGATAAATTTAAACAAAAGACATTATTGGTTCCAAAAAAGTCTTTCCCACAATAAATTACTCTTATACAATAATGAAACTCGAAGAAGTACCAAATGCCCGTTGTAAACTGTCATAAATGTCCTAAAAAGCGACAGATCAAGTTAAAAACTCGCTTCCAAAATCCTATTGTTATGATAGATAAATTTGAAAACTTGAATTAAATAGAACCACACGGTTATAAAATTCTATAATAATTCAAAAAAAAAAAAAAAAAAAA